TCCAGTTCCACTTTCCCCAGTAATGCGTGACTTCGCCGTCTGCATAAGTTTCGAGAGAGGTTGCGTTTTCCCTTTTAATTTCGTCAAATCGCCCACCGGGTTCAGTGTGCGCGAAAACCAGCGACACTGGCCACCGAGGTTCTCCAAGGAGTCCCGAAACAGAGAAATCTCCAGGGCTGCTCGCTTCTCGGTCGAGGCGAAGTGCCCCCGATTGATACAATCGCAGGAAGATTTCGCGTCGGTCATGGCGATGATGTCCAGGTCGGGATTTTGGTCCATGATCGTCGCGACTAGGGCTATATGGCTATGGGGCTATGGGGCTATGGGGCTATAGGGCTGTAGGACTATAGAGCTATAGGGCTATAGGGCTGGTCGGCTATAAAGCTATGGGGCCATAGGGCGATTAGGGCAATAGGGTTATAGGGCTATAAGGCCATAGGGCTATAAGGCTCACCCGGGCACCTGGGCACCCGGGCACCCCTGGGCACCTCCGGGCACCCCCGGGCACCTCTGGGCACGCCCGGGCACCCGGGCACCGCAATCGGCGACGTAGGTCACCTACACATATGAGTCCGCGAGGACCCCATGCAGAGGCAAGCTCTGATTGGGCGATTGGAGAATCACAATCCACGAGGTAACCCACTTGGCCTCTGCTAAGCCCAGGGACATGGCGTTGGCCTCCACCGCCGGGGCAGGGCTCCCAGCGCGCCCAGTCCTGTGGGAATGCCGCGTAAGAATACTGACGTCGGCTCCCTTTCCCAACGGGAGATCTTCGTCTGCCGCGCAAATCACGCTGCCTGTCCGAGGGCGACCTTGCCCAGCACCCTCGAGGCCCAGGCCCGAGTCGCGCAGAGCGACCAGGCGGAGACGCGAAAAGTGCAAAGACTTGATGGCGACCCTGGCATGGACACCCTTGAGGCGCCGCAGCGCAGCATTCGCCCTCATGGGACCTTCCACCTCGGAGTTGGGCAGAGCGCTGCTCATGAGAGAGGCGCCCCCCAAACCGCGGCACACTTTCTCGGCGCGACTTATTTAGTCCCCCGCGCAATCCGCGCACAGCTGCAATCTCCCCTGGCGCGGCTGGTAACTCAGGGTTCTTGCGGCGCCCCCTGTGGGAGCCTATGCGTTCGAGCTCGGTCTGCAAGATGCCGCGCCATGGAGATTGCCGGGCAGAGTTTTTGCGCCGTCGCCAAATGCGCCAGCCGCGCCCAGTAGCGCCCGCCATATATTCAATCCATTCTCCGAATTTGAACCGCTTGCAAAGGCGAGAGATGGCGTCGAATAATATATCTCCTATGCCGCCTCCCAACCAATCGTCTGTTGCGACGACAACGAGTCTGGAAAATTGCCCAGGGCGTCCGCCAAGAGTCTCGCGCGCAAGCACGAAGCAGGGCGCCGAAGAATGGCGAGCGAATCCATGCTCCTTGAACGCTGTCAGCAGGATTATGCGCCAGCCAGGGGGGCCGTCGACAAGTCCACGAACATCTGTCAGCAGTTCAATCACGAGCAATTCGCTGGGATCTTCGCCAGGAATGCCTTCCGCAAGCGATGAAGCAAACAATAAATTATCCCCGCAGACTTCGCAGTCTGGGAGTAAAAGCGGACTTCGCGTCGCCTTCCCAAGTCTCAGCCTCGATGGGGGACAGGCACTGTAGAGGAAGAGTGCGTCTGCTGCGGAGGGCGCAGGCACAATGCGATTCAACACAGCAATGTCGGGATCATACAATCTACGGGTAACCCATCCCGCTTTAGCGTCGTAATTCTCGGGGGCAGCAGACTCGTTGAGCTTGTTGTCGTAATCCGCCCCTTGAGATCTCCATTTGTCGTGCCGGCGAGACGGGATGATACGTCTCGGGAATTGGTGGCCGATTTCCGCAGCGGCAGCTGCTCGGTGAATGCGCGCTGCTTTGGCGCCGTCAGGTCTAGCTGCAAATATCCCAGACCGCTCCTTGCGGCGGCCGCCCGTCTGTTTAAGATGGTCAGATAGCGGTTTCACGTTAAATTCGTCATCAGCCCGGTTCTTCTTGAAGAAGAATGATATCGAGGTGTTGAGATAAGCTGATTATGATTGACGGGCTGCGTAGATGTTGTCCTAGTCAGGAGTCTTGCGCGCCCCCGGCAAAGCATCTGCCACCTGAACATGACTGCTGTTCACGTGGCAGGTAACCAGTTCACCTGGAAAATCAGGGGGCGCAGTCGTAGTTGGCGCTGGTGGCGGTAAATATGAAGCTGCACTTGCGAGCCAGGGCATGCCTGAGCCTCGCGCAGCGGCGCTGGAGGTCCCTCCAGGCGCCTCCACCACGGAGGGCTGCCTCGAGCCTGGCTCGCTCTGCGGCCGTGGGGGATGCGGTGTCCAGAAGAGGTCGCACGTGTCGAGCGTCCCTCTGGGGTACTGTGCGTTCCAGTCCAGGTTCGTCATAGCTTTCCGCCATTGGTTGCGTCTCTGGTTCTTCCGGCGCTGGCGGTCGCGGCCCCAACAGGCATCAATGTCTGAGTCGTCGGGGATCTCATCGGCCTCTGACGCCTCAGGATCGCTAGAGGTTCATCTCCAGGGAATCTGGGACTGCCCTCTCTAGGGACGTCGACATAACGACGAGCGCCCCGCGCGCGCTCGAGATCAATCTTGAGGTCGCGAAGATAACGGTTGACCATCTTGGTGCCTCTATTGTCATCTTGCACGGCGCTGCGCATCTGTTCATTTGGTACGCGCCACAGCGCTCCGCGCGCGTTGATCCAAGCCCCGCCAGCAGTAGGTGGGAGAATCACGCCAGGCCCAACCCATTTTCCCAAGCCGACTCGTCCTTGTCTCCATGCAAATACGAGTTGACCTTCTGTGGAGGTTGGTGGTATACGGTGTCGCGCGCGGAGGACTCGAAGTTGTCGCGTTCGACCACCCATGGCAGAAGCGTAAGCTCCACTGGTGATCTGCCACAAATTCAGTCGCAAGTTTCCTTCGTAAGCCACGGCCGCTTCAACCGAATCCTGACACGTGGCAGGCTGCCACGAACCACCTGGAGCACCTGTGAGCACAACCGCGCACTTACAAGATGCTGGACCAGCCAGGCTCACAGTGGTAGCATCTGGAGAAACAAGTTGCCCGACCTTGCTGATACAGGCGCTCTGAAGGCAAATCCTCGCCAGCAGATCGCCAGCGAACATCGCGTCAGTGGCAGCCTCGCGGCATGAGAGGGCACGGCCAGTCCATCTCTCGGCCTGGGCACGGTCGCAAAAGGGGTCATGCCAAGCTTCCTGAATGAGCTCGCTAGTACTGGCTCAGTAGACAACCTCTGTCACCCGCCGGCTGGGTTAAATAGCCCGTCGCGGGGCTCGCGATGCACTAGGACATGCGCCCTATGACCGTCGAAGACATCTTCTGCCCGCGAGTCCATCAAATGTCGGTCTCCTCCACGATCGTCTCGAAACCCGCGCGGTGCAACCTGATGGGGGTGATTTCGTATTGGGCGGTGTCTCCGTCCACGGCTGTGAGAACCGGCGGGCCCAGTCTTGATCTGACCAACCCACATCGTCATCACCTTCCCAAGGAACGTCTTCTCGGCCTCCGCCTCCTGCCCAAGGACCCAGTCCTGGTTGTACTGGAAGCTCATCTTCTCGAGGCTGAGCGTCGTCTGAAGACCAATGGCAGCGCTCGGTGCAAAAAGGTGGAAGCGGAAACATCCAAAGAATCATATGGCATGCGTCACCCGAGAGTCGAGTGACAGGGGTGTCGGCTGGACTCCCCTCGTGGATCACATCCGCGGGCTCCGCTGCCACTGTGGAACGTACGGGAGTAACTGTATGGAACACGGAGAGACACGAATTACAAGTAGGGGGACCTATGCTGTGAGAAAGCACGTTCTCTTTGCATTTACGGGGGCCAGTGCGCGCCCGTCGCCTGCGCGCCAGGTGACTCAAGGGCCCTCCATGGAGGTGGGAGATAGGCGCAGGAGGAGGAGAGGCCAACATGGGCATGACAACCACAGGGGGCCTTTCTCTCCAAGCAGCGTTTGCACTGAGATGCTCAGACTTTCGGCGGCGCGCCGAGGGGGAGAGTGAGGGGGGGCAGGCCTTCTCACAAGGCGGCGGGGCTCCTCAGAGACCTTCCGGCCTTCTGAGAAGCCCTCTGCGTCTGCGGAGACAAAACACGAAAACGTCTCAGAAGGCCCGAGGCCCTCTGAGCCTTGTGAGAAAGCCCGCCCCCTATGCCTTCCCCCCCTGGGCGCGCCACCGAAGCTACCCAGGCTTTCGCCCAGCGGGCGCCCGTGGGCGCCTCGTGAGCGCGCCTCGTGGGCGTGCCTCGTGGGCGCGCCACGAGCGCTGGCTTGGCTTTCCGAGTTTTCGTTCCGCGGGTGCCCGTGGGCGCGACCGCATGGAGGGAGAGGTCCGGGATCTTGCACGCGCCGCTCCCACTCACTCCCGCTGTGTACCCGTGCCCACCTGCTCTCGCCCACCTCACTGACAGGCCCCACGAATTTTGAACATGGCTTTGCGAAACTTGGTTTCTTAGCCAGCCTCTTCCACTAGCTGACGAGTGCATGCTCTGCCTCGCCGCCTCGATTCGCTTTGCCTCGCCTGCTCTTTGCATGCCGCAGCGTGCAGTAGCTAGATCCAGCGCGTCTCAGATGCACACCCTAGACTGACGTAGCCTGCATGGGAGATATGCTGTTCTTCTTCGCCGCCTGTGCTTGGCGGCTCCAGGTAAAAGTCGCTCGGCTCCCAGCTGGGAACTCTGCTAAGACTGAGAGCGCCAAATCGAGCCGGTCATACGGTGTTATCGAGCTGGCGGTTGGGAAGCATCTGGTAAAACTTCGGGCTGCGCCAAGACAGCCCCTTCCAGGTAGTTCTGGCTGGCCTAAACAAGCCCCCCGAGTAGTCTGGGGCGGTCTCGACGCCCCAACCCTGGGGCGCGGAGCGCCCCAAGGGCGCCGCCTCTGGGGAGGCTGTCTGTGCGCCACCAGAGCCTTACGAAAAGCATCTAGCGCAGGGATTTTCTGTGTGCCGTCCTCTGCCGCCGACGGACGCTGCAGCTCCACGGCGCCGCGGAACGACCGCGGGCTGGCGCCGCCACGAGCTCCCGGAGCGACGAAGCCCACCGCGGCGCTGGCCCAGCCGGCGAGCGCGACGCAGAGTGCCAGGTGAGCGGCCAGAGTCCTGCGAGAGGGTGCCATGGCCCCGCCTGTGTGCCCCAGAGTCCAAGGGGGGAGGAAGGACTCTTGCTGCGCAGCGCAGCGCGGATCAAAACTGTGATGCGGGAGGTGGGGCGCAAGATGTAAGGATAGGTGAAAGGCGATGGCGACGATGACGCGACGAGATGGCGGAGTCGGAATGAAGATGATGATGATGATGATGATGATGATGATGATGATGATGATGATGATGTTGATGATGATGATGATGATACTGATGATAATGATGAGGATGATGGTGTTGCTGATGATGATGATGCTGATAATGGTGATGATGCTAATGATGACTATGGTGATGATGATGGTGATGGTGAAACTGACAATGACGACGATGCTGATGGTGGTGGTGATGATAACGACGATGACGATGACGATGGCGATGACGAGAACGATGTCGACGACGACGACGATGACAATGATGATAATGATGGTGGTGACGATGCTGCTGATGATGACGGCGACGATGATGATGCTGATGCTGATGCTGATGCTGATGCTGATGCTGATGCTGATGATGGTGATGGTGATGGTGATGATCCTGAAGATGATGGCGATGAGGGTGATGATGACGATGATGATGATGACTATGGTGATGAGGCTGATTGTAATGATGGGGGTGATGTTAGTTATGCTGATGACGATGATGTTGGTGATTATGCTGATGATGGTGATGATGGTGATGATGCTGATGATGGTGATGATTGTGATGATGATGGTGGTGGTGGTGATGATGATGGCGAGCCTGATAATGGGAGTGATGCTGATGATGATGGTGATGGTGATGGCATTGATGGTGATGGTGATGGTGATTATCATGGTGATGATGAAGATAATGACGGTGATGATGGGGATGATGATGCTGACGATGATGATGATGATGATGATGATGATGGTGGTGATGATGAGAACGGTGATGATGGTGCTGATGATGATGATGATGACGATGATGATGATGATGATGGTGATGATAAGTATGATGATGACTATGATGATGATGATGATGATGATGATGATGAGGCTGATGATGATGATGATGATGATGCTGATGATGCTGATGATGATGATGATGATGATGATGATGATGATGACAATGATGACAATGATGATGATGATGATGATGATGATGATGATGATGATGATGATGATGATGATGATGATGATGATGATGATGAGGGCGATCGTGGTGATTATGAATCCGCGGGCACCAAGGCGGGCGGACCCCACCTCGACACATGGCCTCGGGACGTGCAGAAGTCGCGGGCGGTACCCTCGCGCGGGCCTTCGGAGCAATGGCACTCGCCCCCTGTCATCGCCCCAGGCACAGAGGACCCGCTGTTGGATCGAGAAGCGCCCCCGACGAGGCAGCCACCGCAGCTCGCGCCAGATTCCCGGGACCCTGGACCTCTCTGCGCTCCTTGCGCCTGCGCTCAGCGGCAGCGGCTGCCGCGTCGGCAAGGTGGAGGGCGCGCTCCTCGCCCTCGGGGCCCGGCGTCCGCAGGCGCAGGGCCAGGGCTCCCGGCACCGAGGACAGCGCTGCCAACAGGGCCAGCAGCTCGCGTGGCCCCGCCCCTCGCGCAGGCCCGCGCTGTCGCGAGGGCCGCGGCCGAGCCCTGCGAGGGCTCAGTGGCGATTTTCCTGGGCCTCAAGACGAGGGATGCCACTCAAAGCGGCCGACGGCCTCCACGAGGGCCAAGCGGCCACAACCGGGGTCCAGGGGCACCCTCTCTTGGGATCCCGAGGAGGTCGCCGCTTGGAGCCCCGCGAGGGCTCCAGGCGGCGATGACTTCGCAGGGCCCAGAACAGAAGCGTGTTGTCCCGGGTTGTTCGAGAAGCGTGGGGGGCCCCCCCCCGACAAGGGTGTCAACGGGGGCTCAAGAGGCGATTTGCCCCGGTCCAAAGGGGGGGGGGCTATCCAAAGGATTGTTCAATACGCGTGGGAAGTCTCCCCCCCTTGACGGGGGGTCCGCCTCGCCACGTCGGCACACCGCACCAGGGGCAGGCGCGCCTTCACCGCACGGCGCGTGTCCGCGACGGGGGCCGACTTGGGGCTGTCGGCGGTGGTGGCGCCCCCCCACCGCCACGCTTTCCTGCACGAAGCGCAGGAGCATCAAAGCTCTTTGGCCGATGGCCTCCAAGATGGCCCCAAGGGCACAAGGGCCCCAAGGGAGCCCCAAGAAGGCCTTGCAAAAGTCCCAAAAAGAGCGCCAAGATGGCCCCAGAGGCTTCTCAAAAGTCCACGGACTGGCCATCATTGGAGGCTGGCTGGGTCGACCCCAGATTCGGTTTGGACTGGTGTCCCCTCTCCTTGCTCAGTGAGGACTCATCCCCCCCCCTCTCTCACGACAGCTCGCCCGCGAACCATCTCTGGACGCACACACACCCCTGCACAGATTTGTCCTCCGACAGGCCAGTGGATTTCAGTCAGCGGTTGGAAGTCAAGCAGAAAAACTCATGCACGCACGCATACACACACCCATGCACACACAGGGGGGAAAGAGACGATGCGGCAACACTGCTGCAATCGAGTGTCTTCCCGCCCGGGCAGGAAAGAGCGGGATACCGCCAAAGGCCACGCAAGGGTCACCGACAATCCCCACTTCTCGCTCCATCACAATCGCGGCTCATTGCCGGCAAGCGTGCCCCCGCACACAGAACTGGCCCATCCCGACGCCTGACCTTCGCAGTGCTGCAGACATTCAGCGCCTAGATCTGGCGCTTTTCGATGGGTAGGCAGAGGGTTGCATTCTTTCGACATGCACATTGGCTCTCTAGTCCCTGCCCGAAGGGCGGCGCTGCACCAAGCCACGATTTCGCACTGAGCACGCCACTTGGAAAATCTAATAGAACCATAAACCTGGTGCGAGGCTGAAGCGAAGCAGGCGGCTCTGCAAGACCTCTGAACGGCTTCCCCGCGATCCGTCCTCCCGTCAGCAGGGGCGCGCTTTCGAGCGAACGCCGAAATCCTGGGGGGTCCTAAAATCCACCGCAGGGTTATTCATGACTAGACCGGCTGAAGTATTCGACGCCCAAGCGTCGTACCCCGAGATGTCCCTGGCGAGTGCATTTCGAAAGCGGCACCTGCCTAGAGGTGTGTGTCTTGGGCCCGCCGCTGAATACACGCCTGCGGAGCGGCCCCTTCCTGCTGGTGAGAGGGGGGAATCGGGGAAGTCCGAGCAACACGTGCGCGCACAAGTGCACACTTTACAGCATCTCCACTGGAGCCCAAGGCTTTGCCATGGAGCAAATACCAAAGCATGACGCCTGCGACTACGCTTCGCTGCTACTGTCTCATCACGCTGCGTCCCCACTGACTGGCAGAACCAGCTTGTTGCCATACCACTTACTCTTCGCGTAGTAATAAAAGAAATCGCAGTACAACCCGGTCTGGACCAGGCCACCAATCCATCCTACCACGTTGACGTAGTCCTCCGCGAAATAGCGATAGATCCAGTTCAGGATGTAGAAGAAGCGGTAGGCGCCCAGTGTTCCCACGAAGTCCGCGGTGAGGTTCTCGACCTCGCGGGCCTGCTGCAGGAGGACGAGCTGTGGCAACAGTGCGACGCTCTCGAGCCAGATGGACGTGGACCACAGGATGTCAGGTATCGTGTACTCCTCGGTGCACAGTAAGCCGATCACGAAGCACGGGCCAAGGACGTAGAGTTCGTACTGGAAGGAGTCCGTGCTTCGCTCGTACGTCTGGGAGATCGGAACCTTGTAGCGCATCAGGTAGATCAAGTAGACCGTCGTCGTGATGAACACGAGCTTCATGGTCGTGTTGTAAAGCGAAATGTAGCTCCAAAACAGATCCAAGTAGCGAAAAATGAATACCATCGCGTACATCTCCTGCATGCGACATGACACACCTACGCAGCTCTTGCTTCTGTGCAGCTTAAAGACGAGTAGCATTATGCTTGTCAAATGGAGCATGTCACCGCTCAGTCGGAAGATATTCATCCTCTTGAAACTGGCACGTCCCTCGAACTCAGTCTCACGAGCGACAAACTACGACTGCCGAAAAGGCCCAGGAAGTCCCTCGGGCCAGATAAACTAAGGAGGAGCAACGTTTGGGGAGGGAATCAAGCAGAGGTGCGATGATCAGATCATTTCGTCAGGGTGCGCTGGACCATTCCTATCAGCAAGACCCAAGGGACGCATCACTACAATGTGGAGGGTTCGAATCGAAAAGCGTAAAATGCAACGATGAGAGACCTAAGATGAGCGCGATATTGTGGAACTGTACTATTGCCTCTACGTCATGCACGGTTTTGTGCGACTTATGGAATCGCTGCCCATCCCATCGCCCCCCAATGTCGGCCCGCCTCGCTTCAGGACGCAATCTTGACTGGCGGATCGAGCCGAGCTCAGGCATAGCGATGAGGAGGCCATCATGTCAAGCCACGACCTGGTCTAGTTCCGAAACAAGACGTACAATGGTTGTCGCGGAAGGCGAACTGGTGTCTTTTCCGAAACCTGGAATTCTGGAACGGTCGGAACCAGGAATCGGCACCCCCAAAACTTGGAATTCCCATGGGAAATCCAGAATCGCAATTCAAGCGAAACCCAGAATTCCGGATCTCCTATACATAACCCCATTCCTGCCTTCCCTCCTTCCTTCCTTCCCAAACCCTCCATCCCAAACCCTCTATCCTCGCCCCGCGAACCTCGGTCTTCGACAACGTCGACGGCGACCTCTGCGGCAGTCCAGAAGCTTCTGGAAGCTTCTGGAAGCCTCGGGAAGCATGGGGAAGTCTCGGGAAGCCTGCAGAGGCCCGGGGAAGCCTCGGGAAGCCCGGGGATGCCTTTTCCAGGGAGGCTTCTGACAGACAAGAGAGAACGGCACAGGAGGCATCCTGGGGACAGCTCTCAGGCGCCCTGGTGGCCTTTCACGCCAACGAGGCGGCAGAAGGGGGAAGGGGGAGCCAGGAACAGGCAGGAGGAGGTGGGATGGGGCAGCCTCGGGAGGCCTCGGGGGGCCCGGGGAAGCCTCGGAAAGCCTGGGGAAAGCTCGGGCAGCCTGGGGGGGTGCCTCGGGTGGCCCTGGGGGAGCCTGGGGAGGCCCGGGAAGCCCGTGGAGGCCTGGGGAAGCCAGAGGAGTCCTCGGGAAGCCTCGTCTGCGGAGATCAAATAGAAATCTGGGGTACAACTCTCAGGTGCAAAAAGCTGTGCGCTGAAGGCCTTTGACACCAACGAAGCGCCAGGAGAAGGAATGAGGAAATGAGGAGGTAGGAGGAGGTACAAGGAGGTGAGAGGAGGTGGGGTGAGGTTGGACGAGGTAGGAGGAGGTAGGATGAAGTGGGAGAAAGTAGGAGGATATATGTAGGAGGCGGTATGGGGGAGGTAGGATGGGGTAGCAGGAGGTAGAAGGAGGCGGGACGAGGTAGGAGGTGGGAAGAAGAGGTTCAAGGACGTTGAAGGAGGTAGCATGACGTAGGAGGAGCGTTGAGGAGATAGGAGGTAGGAGGAGGTGGGATGAAGTACGAGGAGGTAAGAGTAGGTACGACGAGGTACGGGAACTGAGGAGGCATGATGAGGTGGGAGGAGGTAGGAGGAAGCAGCAGGAGCTACGAAAAGGTGGGAGGAGGTAGGAGGTGGGAGGAGGCGGGAGGAGGTGGGAGGAGGTGGGAGGACGTCGCACGAGGTGGGAAGACGTCGCTGGAGGTGGGAGGAGGTGGGAGGAGGTAGAGGAGATGGGAAGGGGGTAGGCCGAGGTCGGAGGAGGAAGGAGGTGGTGGAAGGTCGGGAAGCCTGGGGAAGCCCGTGGAAACCTGGGGAAGCCTGGGGAAGCTTGACGAAGCCTGGGGAAGCGCTGAGACGTCTGATGAGGCCTGAGGAGGCCCGGGGATGCATGGGGGAAACCTGGAGAATCCTAGGAACGCCTCTTCTGTGGAGGCTCTCGACACCGGGGGAAAACGACAAATTCACAGGAGGCATTCTGGGTACAGCTCTGGAGGCGCAAAAAGCTGCGCCCTGGAGGCCTTTCGCATCAAGGAGGCGGCAAGGGGAGGAAAGGAGAGATCGGAAGAGGCAGGCGGAGGTCTCGGGAAGCAGCCAGGGATGCCTGAAAAAGCCTCGGGTAGCCTGGGGAAGCCTCGGGTCATCTGAGAAGGCCCGGGGAAGCCTGGGGAAGCCCGTGGAAGCCTGAGGAAGCCGGGGGAAGCCTGGGGGGCCTCTTCTGCGAAGATTGGCTACACAACAAAAAGGTAACTCACAGGTGCAAAAAAACAGTACCTTGGAGGCCTTCGGCACCAAAGAGGCGCTGAGAGGAGGACGGAGGAAATAGGAGGCGGCAGCAGGAGGTACGAGGAGGTGGGGGGAGGTGGGAGGAAACGGGACGAGGTAGGGGGAAGTAGGATGAAACAGGAGGAAGTGGGAGGAGATAGCAGGAGGTTGGAGGAGGTATGATGAGGTAGCACGAGGTGGGAGGAGATGGGAAGGTAATCGGATATTGGAGGAGGTAGGAGGACGCAGGAGGAGATGGACGGCGGCAGGAGGATGGGGAACAGGTAGGAGGTGGGAGGGGGCGGGAGGAGGCAAGTGGATGCACAAGGAGGTACGAGAGTCGAGGAGGAGGAGGAGGAGGAGGAGGAGGAGGAGATGTGAGGCATGAGGTGTATGGAGGCAGGATGAGGCAGCAGGAGGTACGAGGAGGTGGGAGGAGGTAGGAGGCGGTGGGAAGAGGTAGGAGGAAGCGGGATGAGGTGGGGGGAGGTGGGAGGAGGTCGGAGGCGATGGGAGGAGGTGGGAGTGGGTAGGACGAGGTAGGAGGAGGTAAGAGGTGTTGCAAGGAGGTGGGAGGAAGTGGGAGGAACAGACAGGGCAACCATTGAAATGGCGGGCAACACTGATTGGCCAGCATGAGTGCCAACTTAAAGGCGTCCGCTCGTAATCCAACTGGCGTTCCCTATTGGCGGGAACGCAATCCAAGGGTACTCCTGGATCCGTGACGCCAGAACTAATAACACAAGTAGCATAAGGAATCCTGGGTACAACTTTCAGGTGCAACAAGTTGCCCCAGAGGCCTTTGACACCAAGACGACGGCAACGGCGACGGCGGCAACGGGAACGACGGCTGCGACGGGAACGATGACGGCAACGGCGGCGGCGACGGCGGTGACGGCGACGGCGGCACCAGCAACGAGACGGCGACGGCGACGACGACGGCGGCGACGGCTACGACGACGGAGTCGGCGACGACAACAGCAACGGCGGCGACGGCAGCGACGAGCCAAGCTTTGGCGAGAACCGCCCCGTTCTCGCCACAGGCGTCGCATACACGAGCTTGTTATCGATGCGACGGGGGCCGTCCTATGAGGCCCCTGGGCCCTGGAAGCCGACTGACCCTCGAACCTGGTTTTCGAAGACGACGACGACGACGACGATGCCGACGCCGCCAGAAGCGCCGAGAAGCCCCTGGCGAACCCGGGAGCCCCAAGGACGGCCAACATCACCCCGAACCTTGCATCCTCGACCCGCGAACCTCGGCTCTCGACAACGTCGGCGACGACCTTTGCGGACCTTCCGGGATCCTTGAAGTTTGTGGAAGCATCGGGAACCTTCGAGAAGCCTCGGGAAGACTGGGAAAGCCTCGGGAAACCTGAACATGCCTGGGGAAGTCAAAGGAAGCCCGGAGAAGCCTGAGGAAGCGTGGGGGGGCCTTTTCCGCGAAGGTTCCTGGCGCACCAAAACAATCACAGGGGGCAGCTTGGATACAACTCCCAAGTGTAAACTTCTGAGCCCCCAGAGGCCTCTGATACCAACGAGGCGGCAGGATGAGGAGGGAGGATAGAGGAGGAGGAAACAAGAGGAACGCCCAGGAATCAGCCACGGGAGGCCTCGGGAGGCATTGGGAAGGCTTGGGTGGTCTGGGGAACCCTCGGGAAGCCTGGCGAAGCCAGGGGAGGTGCATATTGGGCTCCGATGGAGGGGGCGCCCGCTCCCTTTCTCTCTCTCTCTCTCTCTCTTCCTCTCCTGAGGCAAGCCAGAATGCTGCAGACAGAGCGCGCACATGAAACCTCCTAAAGTCAATGCCTTACTCGAGAGGGCTCGGTAATCAGGGTCCAGACAAGAACTGATCAAAACTAAAAATCGTGCGTCGTCGAAGCTGCACGCGCCCGCGAGGGCCTCCCGGCCGCGACAGTGGCATTGCCGCGCGGCGGCGTTGACTGAGAACTAGTTGCTGCGACCACTGAGTACGACTGGAGGCGGTCGCAGCGGCATGGGCGGGCGGCTCAGCCCCCGCCTCATGCTACTAGTGCATATCCTCATCGACGGACGGCACGAGGTAGCTCCGCGGCGCCCGGAACTCCTTCACTATCAGGCGCATGAACCGGACGCGCTCGCCCTCGTATTCCGCCAGCTCCTGCTTGCCCCGCTCACACAGGTTCTCGCTGGCCTGCTTGCGCTCTGGGTCGTCAGGCATTTTTGATGAGACGTCGCTCCACGTGTCCGAATCTGACTGCCCTGGGCCGCCCTCGTAGCCGCGCTCGGCTGGAACCCGCAGCGCCTCGATCGCCTCCGACATCCCGTCCAACAGCTCCAGGCTCCTTTCCCACCAGCATCGCCGCATGCGCGAAGCCCCACGCCTCCAGGCGAAGCAGGGCCGAGTCTTCGACGACCGCCGCAGTCCTGATCGCGACGTTGCCGCCCCCCTTGCCCCACGTCTTGGTCACCGTGTTCCTTGGGCCGCGGCTCCGGACATCCCCGAGCGTCAGCATCTTTGTCACAAGCTTGCATGTTTTTTTTTTTCTCCTGAATCGCGCGCCAGCCCCACCTGGGTGCTTTCGAACATGCTCCGGACCTCGTCCTCGGTGAGATTGCTCGCGAACTTGGCCATCGTGCCT